TAAGCCAAATTAGAGAAACAGTAGAGTTCTTGATGATAATAGTGGTTAATAATCTTTTAAGTTGGCTTACATGTAGGTTTTGTTTCCCCAGGCAGAAATAGATTGTTCACATTTAACCTGCGTGGGAGCTGTGCCAGGAAAAAGCCTTTACCCAGATCAGGATGGTGCATGCACAGATGAATCATAAAAGGAGGGATTACCCCACAGCAACTCTATGTATGTGCAGAGCAAAGAGTAAAGAGAAAAAAACGGGTACAGACTTTAAATCATAAAGATGCAAATGTCCTAGCTGCCTCAGAGAGTTCAGTAGTTGCCGTCGCTTTCTTATGAATTATGCAATGTAAAAAGAATACTTCAGTAGTAGTGTTCACATAAAAGAGGGCAAAATAATTATTTTAACAATCCTGTGCTCTACAGAAAAGTGACTAAAATAAAAGATTTGCAGGATTATGGAATGGACACAAAAATGGCCTTAGGGGAAGTTAAGATGTTTTCAAAGTTCTAACTACAAGTCTTCAAAAGCAGAAATCCTAGGGAGCACGTTTACAATCAAGAAAATTGTTGATTCAGTAAACAAGAGTAAGAACAATATTTCCACAATATTTTTTTCTAAAAAAAAAAAAAAAAAACAAAATAGAAGCAATGGCAGAATAAAAATAAACCAAAATATGTTTTTCAAGAACATCGCACGGNAAGAGTAAGAACAATATTTCCACAATATTTTTTTTCAATATTTTAAAAAAAAAAAAAAAAAAAACTGCTTAGTAGCAATGGCAGAATAAAATAAAACCAAAATATGTTTTTCAAGAACATCGCACGGATGGCATTTTTTGTCTCCTACCTACACTGTTGATATATTGATCATTTTTTTGTAAAGAAGTGAAAAATAAAATAACGGTGCAAATGAAATATGAAAATCGATGAAGGAGATTTTAATAGTATTTTTATTTAAAGACAGAAGAAAATTGCATATTTCATGAAAAAGCTGGTTAAAAAGATATTTACTTTCAATCACACTAGACAGATGTTATTTTAAAAAAAAAGTTATAAACCAGTGGTGTGTTATAAACCTGTGGGTAGTTAGTAAAACCTTGAAGTAAAATATTAAAAAATAAAAATAAGACAAACTCTCAGAATCCAAAATATTTCGACAGGGGACAGATATGATCACACATAAGCAGCAGAAAAAAAGAAATGAAAATGTAAAATGTCAAAACATTTTACATGTCCATCAATAATGCATTGCAAATACACGTAGGCTACTTCTTGAGTTTGTCTGTGAAATGAAATCTTAATAAAATACACCGAGTTCTGTGATTGTTAGAGAACATATCCTCAAGGAGTATGAAACCTTAGACAAGACACTGTAATTCTTTTTTAAATATCAAAACACAAACATACATATACATTTATAGACAGACACCAACACACAATCGCTTCAAACAGTAGATACATCGTATCCAATGGGCCTTTTTCTTCCTTTGGCACCTTCTTCTTCTCCTTTGACTATTTGAGCTGATGTAACGAGTACATTTCTCCACTGTGAAATCATCAATCAATCAATCAATCAATCAATCAATCAATCAATCAATCAAAAACAAGTCCCTTTTTTGAATTAACATCGAACTGTTGATCAGACATATCATAATGGCTAGTTGAAGGTTGATCTGGCTAAACAATCAGAGAAGATGTAACTATGCTTAAACTGACATCAATTCTTTCATATTTGGACCATAGGTAGTTCATATTTGTACCAGCAGATGGCAGCATTGGACCTCAATTATTTACACCCAAGACTTCATACACTAGGACTGGGGAAGACTCACAGAGAGCAGATGGAGATAAAAGAATGCTTTACACTTCTAAAAGCCCTCCTCCTCCTCCTACACCTCCTCTTCCACTTCCTCCTCGTTTGTCTTCATTGACAGGCTGTTGACACAGACCTGCCTTATCAGCCTCAGGGAGTCTTCATTTCATTTTGATGGATGGGACACACTCAGACATCTGCCATTTTTTTATGGTGTAGTCATAGTTGAAATTTAATTCCCCTGTTGTTGCTTGTACAGTTGAAAGCATCGCATGCTGCTGCACAAACTTAGCCTGACAAGTCTGAAAGATACATAATGGAAACAAGCTTTTGCTCTTCAGTGGATTTAATAAGGCATCTTATTTCATACAATAAGGCCATTGATTTTATGTCATGCAAATTTAATCTTGCAGGGTTTTATTTTTTATTTTTATACAGATCTGTACAATTCTGATTTGTTTTTGTTGATCTCCTCTCCATCTTTACAAGACTTTGGCATAGATAATCCCTGAACCATTTTGTCAGTGCTGTCAATGGTGTCAGGTAACATCGTCACTACACATATGGATAGAGGGTACCGCTTAGCAGAGCAGAATGCCAAGGTCAAAACTGTAATCCCTGGCCTTGTTCATGATGGATTAGAGGAAGATGGGGGAAAAAAAGAAATAAAAACTGCCTTTGGTTTTGATTAAGAATTATGGGGTTAGGAGATTAGAAGCAACCAAATGCTATTACACTGGACTGAACCCAATCCCTGAATTAATCTGAATACTGAAAAATAGAGAAAAAGAGAGAAAACTCATTACATGTAGAGATTAAGTAAGGCTTGGTCTGATTCTCTTAGGAGGTACACATAATACTTAGTTCACCTATAAATATGCCAAGTTAAAAAGTCCAACTTGAGTAGATTATAAACTTGAGTAGATTATAAACAACCAATGCACTTTTCAGTGCATTGGTTGCTTGTTCTAACTATGTCTTTGCAGTTTCATTTCCAATAGAGAAATCGGTGACAAAAATACTTTAATCTAAAATGTTTTCTTCAATTAACTAAAGGTGAGATATACATAATCTAATTTTCTTTATTTTCAATTTTTACATGTCTGGTTTTTTGGGTATATTATGCAAAGCAGATGGTTGCCCACAAAGTAGACGGACCACAATATTGTTATTTTAGCCTATTTTTGTATGGCCTTTTACTGTTTCAAATGATTGCATGTTGGTGTCTATGTGTATGATTGTATATGCATGTTTGTGTTGATGTGAGTAAAAGTTTTTACCCTAGAGGTTTACTTTGTAAGTGCAGTGAGAAGAAGAAGTAGAAGGCCTGCAATGCACAGCAGCAAGGGGCAGGCAGACCTGGCCCCAGAAGCTTGTGGTAGTCATAGGCTGCCAGATACAAAGCATTGCCCCTTGGCAGCCATACGTATCCACCGGGGTAGAGTGCCGAAGAGGCACAGTCAGGACAAAGAGGTAAAAAACAAGACACAAAAGTGCCAAGATACACCACCAGGATTCTTGAGTTAAAAAATTAATGAACAGAAATTTATATTGGACTAGACTTCATTTTCAACCAATAACTAAAATATGGTATAAGATCAAAATACAATACAGAGTTGTCAGTCTATCAACCACAAGATCACTCAGGTTATCTGGCTTATGCATTTGTAGTTTGCAGTTCAAACTTTCTTTACCTGTGCCACTAAAATGTACTTTTCTCTGTCTGATTGCTTTTCACCTGAAATTTAAAAATATAGGATAAGACTATAGCAAACCACTGCTAAGCTTAGAAATAAAATATGTATATATCCTTATTTGGACTTGCTTTATCCTGTAATGTGACTTACCATATATGTTAAGGACCTTTTTTTTTAATACTTTAGTACAAACAGGATAAATACAAATGTCGAAATTTATTTGAATTTACTTGCACAGTACATCTGTATTTATTTGTGGTAAAACAAATAAGGTCTTTAGGAGAAACATTGCTTTCTAAAGTTACTGTCCAGGAAAGTTGACATCGTTAGAAATACTAAAAAACAGGCCAATTTAATTTTTTTCTTTTCACATGCTGTCTGCTTTTTATTATATTTAAACATCATCAGTTAATTCAAATGTTTGGTTTCTGATAAGAAAATATGATTATAAATTTTTTTTTAAGTTTGTTAAAATGTGCAACCTTGAGATCGCTGAGATTTAAAACACATTTCAAAAGAAAAGCTGTATTTTTTGAACATGCCTGGTTAAGAAATATCTGACGTCCCCTAAGGCTGCTTATATTAAGAGACAATTTACAGCAATCAGTTCTGAAATCTAAGGATTAAGGGTCAACACTCTCTTGGGGAGTTCCGTATATGGGGAGACAGTGATTTCTGTAAGGATAGTCATACCAGTGCTGATATAAAAGCTCATCAATCTTACCACTTTCTATCACTCAGCCAAGCTTGGCAGATACTTTCCATTTCTATCAAAATGTTCAAACTTCTTCTTGGTCAGTTTTATCACAAATATAAGATTTAACACACAGTGATTTTGGTTATAAATACCAGCAACATTTACAACTATTATATATATAATTTTAGCTTTTTTCTAGATGTGATAGTACCTCTTTCTAGAAAATAAAAATCTATTATGTGACACTGAAAAGCAAGCTTGAAATATAACATATTCTTTTTTTGCAGTAGCTGAAGTACATTCAGTTTTTGAAAACACAACAGGAATCATACAGTATGTTACTTGGGACCCGCTGTGACAGCAGGAAGTAAATACATCCCCTCTGGCTTTCACATTTGACAAATGAAGAAAAAAAAACATTACTGTACTTTCTAGTAAACAGGAGATTGTTTTTTTGTTACAAACCGAGACTTTTTTGCATTTAAAATAAACCCTTTCTCTTTTTACCCTTTCCCTCTCACCTTGTTATAGCATTGTGTGGATCCAGTTTGAATATATTTTTGTGAAAGTTTCTGGAGGAATGTTTGTTGGAGCGGGATATAACACAGCAGGTGTGTTCCTGTCTTTCCTTAAAGGTCGTCATCTCCTTCCCTTTCCTATGCTAGGCTCAGTAAAGAACATCAAAGGGTGCAGAAAGACAAATAAAGGCATGTGCACAGAGACCACTGTCAATAAAACTACTGATATTCCAACTTAGAAAAAGAATGCAAATAGCAACCGAAAAAATTCTTTATTTTAAAAATCAGTAGAGCTGCTTTACATTTGAAATAACTTTACAAAGTTAGAAGAACGTATATGAGAGATGTCAATCTTACAGCCACCAAATGCTTTGACACTGATGACAATGTTTCACAGGGATATGACACTTCAAACTATAACTACAGTGCACTGCTTCACAAAAAAATCAACAAAAGAAACAGGAATAAAGGAAAGACATATTCTTTTAATATTGGTTCACACCAAAAATAATAATCTAAGAAGTTATAAAGAATGTTAATTTCTCTGAAAGTGGATAGCATCATGTTTAGGATGCAAGACTCATGTGCTGGAGTCTCGTTTTCCTCTGTCTCTCTTTGCAGCACGTTTGGGCTGACAGAAGACGCAAGGAGACCGCGTTGCACTTTGAGGTCGCGACCCACTCCGGACACCTTTATAACACTGCAGGGATATACCCAACTCTTCCATCATGGCGGTAAAAGACAAGCACTGCCAAGAAAAAGACAATATGGTGTTTTATTTATTTTGGTCTATCATTTTAAATCATTTTGTTAGTATTTTATACCTTGTACCTAAACAACCAAGATAATAATTAGGTTGAACATTATCTTTAATGAAACTGGATAAGTTAGTAGCAAGACTAATACCAAAACTGTGTACCAAATGATAAAAGGGAAAAATGTGAGAACATTTTATTTTCATCCTCCAACATAAAAGTCAAGCGATTCCAGATTTCTGTTTTCTCATCACAAACTGCACTTCTGTTGTGCTATATTTTCAATCAGCAAACCAAAATCTATTAGCCAGTTAATGATCTGCTAATTATTTCAAACGATCAAAGAGATGACCATCTGAGCTGGAAAGCCTAACGCTTATGAAGCTAGAGGATATCAGATCCCATCAAAAAGACATTAATCCTCAATTATGTTTTATTTTTTCTTATAGAGTCTCTTCTTCCCTGGCTGATGTGTTAATATGATTATTTATACCACAAAGGCTTTCTTTTAATAGCTGGTTGTCTTTACATTCCAGTATTGAAGAAGAGTTTCCTCTTTCATCCTTAGGCTTTGCCAAAGGCTTCCCAAACAAACATGCCATCCTTAGGGAGTCTCATAAATACCATAGACTTGCTGCTTTAGTAAAGAAAATCTGCCTTGTTTCATTCTCGAAAGAAAAAGAAGATTTAAACCATGTTTTTTTATTTTTTTTATTTTTGACTTTTTGGCAGAAAGGTTGATTTTTCTGATCCGGTTGTGTAAATAATTTTACCTTACAGCTTCTATTACATAAAAAAGTCTTCTGTTTATTTGGCACATTTTGCTGTTCAAGTTATCCATCAGGCAGGACAGTTGAGCTATTTGACCCTCTTTTACTCTTCAGGAATTTTATCATGTCAGTAAAACATTTACCTGATCTTAAGTTTTTCCTCATAAAGCTTTAGTTTTCTTGTATGACCCTCTGATTTAATGCTTAGTGATCTCATGCTTATGGACTAGCAACTCTCCCAGGATGAGCGCCTTTTTCCTTATTCGTCTTCTAAAATGCATAATATGATTAAATGACCTGTGAAAATGCATTTTACCAGTTTATTGTAGCTTATACGTTGTTCCACTTGTCTGTGTTTTCCTTTACTTGCTATAAAGTATATTTTTTCCTTTTCAGGCTTTAGAAATAGATTTCAAGACAGATGATGATACACCCAATGAGATTAAAAAGAAAATCAAGCAAAATACCTTATTTGAAAGTGACCAGTAAAGGTATTTATGAACATTATACTTTTTTCATATTTTGTCACATTACAAACCATCAAACTCAATCTTATTTATTGGAGTTTATGTGATAAACAAGCAAATAGTTGGATTGTCTAACTGCAAAGTAGAAGGAAAAGGTTACTTAGATATTACATCTTTTTTTTTTACATATAAAAATTTATTGATTATTGAGTCACACATTTGCAATAAATGCCAGAAGAACTGCTCAGAAGATGATAATTTCCCTGTGTGGAATTTAATTTCATTATAAATAAAATCCTGTGTGAAGACTTCCAAGTTTTTTTAGAGAATGTTATTGAACAAATAAACAAATAAACAAATAAAAACTGATAAGGTAAATATTTATGAAGAGGTTTAAAGCCAGTTTAGGTTATACAAGGGTGTTCAGAGACAAGATAAGGCCCAAAGTACTGATGAGTCCATCTTCTGTAGTTTGGGAAGGGTGATCTTTTGACTACATTATAAGTGCTGGAAGTTTGAAGTCTTTATAGAAAAGTACCAGATTGAAACACGGAAAACATAAAGTTTTATTGTGTCCCCGATAATATCTTCATGGGGTACAGCTGACCCATGGAAGCTAGTCCTTTGATCAGACAAGGTAAAAATTCAACATTTTAGGAAGACTGCAAAACCAGCCATGTTAGAAAAAGTAATAACTCAAATGATCCTAGAGGACACATCCCTACTGTAAAACATGGTGGTGACTGCGTTATATTGAGGGTAGAATTTTCATTGGCAAAGATCAGAAAGCTGGTCATAGACCAGTCTGCAACTGCAGTACATAATAACCGCATTAGTGAAAGACTTTTATTTTTACAGAGTATTCTAATTACTTTTATACATATTAATAACGCTATTACGTTTCTTGAGATCTAACATACGGTGTTACAATCCCCTAATCAATTAAAGTGCATTTTAATAACAGCTCCCTGTTTGTACAGCAGTCCTCTCAGGAATGTTGACTAATAATGCTGATTGGTTGAGGAGCCATAATGTGGGCGGGTTCTCAGCCTCCATTGATTGCTCTATGCAGAATCAATGATGGTGTTTCAAAGCCATTTCTGAAGTCAAAGGCTAAATGTTTCTGTGGTTTGCTGATTACATCCAGGAATAAAAGATTTTATCCATGTGGGTTACAAGTGGCTCTAATCTAATGAAGCACCTGAAATCATTTTACCATTCCACAACAATAAATCAGAACTAGCACCCTTACTTTTTTAAAAAATTATATTTTAGTACTTCAGTGTTGGACTAAAAGCACTTGCATGATTTACTGTTATTTTTTATATGAAAATACAAAATGGATTATCTCTATGTCTTTTTTCCTGGAATTCCATGAATCCTGTCAAATTTTATCACAATTTGTGTTTTGTTTTGGTTTTTCAGTGTTATAACTATCTTTTAGCCACCTAAAACTTGTCAATGTGCATACCGTACATTTAAAACTCAAAACCATACATTTGATTTATGGTTCTTTAATTATAAACATAGTAATGATATCTACATAAAATTAGAGCTGCTTCATTTGTCCCACCACAGACACCAAAATGGTAAAGATAAGTACATCATGTTTTAATTAATTAATGATAACTGAACCTGTCATTTAATACTTAAAATGTTATATTTGATCATTGCACACACATTTAAAGTTATATAAACCAGAAAGCCACTTATATTTACTTTGATTGTGTAGTAAGTAAGTTACTACCTCAGGTACAAGTAAGTATAACTAGTTACATTTTAAGCAAAGTGACTAACACTAATGGAGACACATGTCAAAGAAAAAAGTTATCAAACAATAAAAAAAAATCACTTATATTAGTGTGTTGTAGGCGGAAGGTTGAAATGAATAATGAATCAGTCGTACTACAGCTGCGTGCCAAGGTTTGGGTATAGTGGGGCATCGTGATGAATGACAAAGAGAGGGATGTCTGTTTTACAAACCTATTGTCTAAAGAAGGTATGAAATGTGTAGGAGCTGCCTTGGCTAGTCTGTGTCATCCCCCAGTAGCCTGCCGCTCTCCAGATCATTTGATAAAGAGCTGCCAGAGGAGGAAGTGGAGCCACGGCGCTGAAACTGACGGGACTGCATCCCGTAAAAGAAACAAAAGGCCTGATGCAACAAACAAAAAAAATGGATGGAGAAGAAAACACAAAGAAGATAAACAAACTTGAAAGGATGTGCACATACTTAGAAGTAAAATAATAGATCATTAAGAAGAATACAGAAAAATAATGTTGAAATTGAGACATGAGTGGCAAAAAAAGTAAATGATATGAGAAACAGCTACTTAGAGTTGAAAAAAATAAAATAAAATTATGCAATAAAATTATCCGTCTCAATGTCAGACTTTTCAAAGCTGTTTTAGGTAATTTAAGAAAATTTTAATATTTCTCTTTGCTAAATTCCAGAGTAGTGACAGGAAATGTAGGATTACTCCAGTCAAAAAGATTGCCTATCAGAACATTTTAAATAAATACAGGCACAACTGTGAAAGGAACAACTCAAATACTTTTCTTATTAGTGTGAAATTTTAGAAAACTGTAAAGACATCTACTAAGATATCAGGAAAATAATGCAGAACCTGGATCTGATTAATTATATTGGTTGCAATTTTGTCCTATATAACCAAATGACTGGGCAGAGCTTAAAGGGTCTGTGAGAGCAAGGCAGTTAACAAATTACTGAAAAGTCATTAAATCTCCCAGTATGAAAGGTAATTCTACTAATAATGAGGCAATCAATGTAAACTTTACAAATCAACAAACGTAAAAACTTCTCTCCTGTTTCTCTCATTTATCAAGTAAAAATAAATGTGGAAATTCTAACTGACCTAAAACAGAAAATGTTTAATCCTATTTAATGTCAGTCAACGTAAACATCTGGTTACAACTACAAATGGATATAAGTGATTGGTTTATTAATTACAATTTTATATTTTGTTCTAAAGAATTGTCAGACATATTTTTCTAAATGCCACAGACAGCAGAAAATAATATATATAAGCAATAAATATGGTAATAACTATATATAAGCCTGATTGAAAAACTTCTTACAACCCTTTCATAGGCTGAAAATATTAGGAGAAAAAATATTTCCAGCAAATAAGAAAGTTTGCTGTATTTATTTTTAAATGTTAACCTGCAATCTGAGATTCTTTCATGAAGAGCCAATCTCTTCCTCACTCACCTCCTCTATGTCTGCATTCCTTCTGGCCTTGTAGATGAACTCCCCAATCGCAACAAAAACAGACAGCACCAAACCAGCAGCCAGAACAATGAATATTCCGCCGATGTTCTCCACACCCAAAGCATTGGCTTCCTTGTTGTCCTCCTCTGGACAGCCATTGCCCCTCCACCACTTCTCTTTCATCATATGCAGCTTCCCTTCCTCCTGCAGCTGAAGAATGGCAATTGTGATTTTGTCCCTGTAGGGGGAACCTTTCAAAGAAGAAGGAATATTTACAAAACAGTTATTAATAATTGATGTTTTCTTTAGGTTAATATATGTTCAAGTATTGTATTATGTTCATATACCCTAGTGTAGCATTAATAGAGGTATTTATAATTTCACACGTTTGAATTATTTTTGAAACAGCGTTTAAAATTGTATAATTATTTTGAAGCATTTTTCAAAAGGCTGTTAAAAACAAAACTACATTTTATGTTCATAGAAGTCCTGTGCAAAAGCAATGATGTTCAAGTTAATTCAAAAACTTTAGGCTCCAGCCCTGGGCTCTTTCTGAGTTAGAAAGCTGCAGTTTTTATTTTTTATCCTGCAGTGCTCATAATTTTCAGCACTGTTTTAATTTTCCAACTGGGAGAGCAGCAAACAACACAAAAATTACCTGCTTCATCAAGTAGGCATACTGGAATGAATGTAAGGTGAGTTCAGAGGTATGTAAAACTAAGTCTTTTTTTTATTATTCTACCTAATGATTACAGGAAACTCCTAATAGAAGGACATCTGAGCTTTGGCTTTGGTATTTTCTTTCTCTTTTGGTATATTTGTTCTCCTAAACATTGTGGAATTACAACTCCTGCTCCAACAGCTGCATTTCTAGCTGCAATATTTTACCAAATTTGAAAATTTAACGATCTGCAATTGTGGTGTTTCCATTAAATAATGAATACAATTGACATTTTATGTAAGTATGTCTGCTCATTTGATAACTCTAATGTAAACACATGAGATACATTCATATTTCAGCCACGGCTCTAGTGGGCGCCATCATTCTCCAACCACTTCTCTTCGTCTACTTTCTTTCCGAGCTGCAGACCACGCAAATTATGTGATGCGAAAAAATTTGCCTCTAGTACAGTTTTGCAAAATATAAGAATTTCGATACAACCGAAAAACAACCCAATCGAGTATTTCTATTCAGCAAATTGTGAAATAACAATTTGCACAATTTGATGGTCAATAGAAAACGCCCCTTATGAACATTTTTCATTAGATATGGAGCAATATCAACAGCATTACGGTCTTCAAGACACAAAAAAAAAAAGAATGATTGTGTTAGAATTTGCAGATCTACAGGAATGCCTCCAACTCATCTTGTTAGATGTTCTAAGTATTCAATGTAAGGAGTATTGTTAAATTTTAACTCATCTTACCAATAGGTGTTCCCACTCCATATCCCTTGGAGTCTATGAGTCCTCCAATCTGCGTGAGATTACAGTTTCTTTGGCTGATGTACTCGATGCTCGTGGATTCCATCAGCATAGCATAATCAGTCGTCAGCACACGGGTGATTCCCTCTTTGTTATTCTTTACTAGTGCCGTTTTCCTGCTGCTCATAAAGGCCCACATCTTTTCATAGGTGGAGATCTTTGATTTCTGTAGGATAAAAAAAAATGTTAGCTTAACTGAAATGTTACACAGAGGAGAAAAGACCTAAGAAAGAACATACCTTACTTAAGCTGCACATGCAGTGTAAGCTATATCGGATTTTTTTTAGATTTTATATAAATCCACAAATATGAGGAATAGTAAAATCAAAAAGTGTACAGTATGCATCATGTTTAACTTATGTGTCATTATGCACTGCCACAGAAAATGGGACAGCTGTGTTTTAAATCTCTCCCAGCTGATCCAATTTGTTGAAGCCATCCACAGAGTCGGCTTCTCCCCATTGAGGCAGCATTAATCACAAGCTGCAATCTGGGAGGATAAAGCTCAGCACAACTCAACCCTGCTGAGCCACGGAATGTGAGGAGAGGTGAATGTTCTGACGCAAGGAAGTGACAGCCCTGCCGGAAGACAAAGTCACTGCAGTATACACTATATATCTATATATAGATATATATCTATATATCTATATATAGATTATATATATACCGTATATATATATATATATATATATATATATATATATATATATATATATATATATATATATATATATATAAAATACAAATTCTGTATTTATTGAATATGCATTTTGGAATCCATCATGTTTTAAAGAATACTAATTGCTTTGGAAAAAGTTTCTCTTTAATTAGTAAACAGCAGATATTTGCCTTAAAGAACGTCATTGTGGATCCATCCCTCACTGCCCCATATTCAATCCTTGTCTGTTTGGCAAGGTCGTCTGCAGAGTCGATGGGGGCGTCCATTCTTTCCACAGTCAGAAAGGCTGCCAAGTTGGCCGTGTAGGAGGAGATAATAATTAAAGTGAAGAACCACCAAATACCCCCAACTATACGCGTGGACAAAGCCTTAGGCATCACCTCAGAGCCTGCAAAAGATAGAAAGGAAAAAAAAGATATATGCTAAATCTTTTATGCAAAATATGCTAAAATGCATGATTAGAATGAAAATAAAATGTACAATAAAAATATATATAGACATTTTAAAAAATGTCTTATTTTCATATGGAAACTAACATGACATGATTTAACAGGTTTTCGATAAAAAAAAAAAAAAAACTGAAATATTTAAAGCATCTTGAATATAGTTACTTTAAAAACTGGTAGTTATTAATGTTTATTAATTATTTTCTAAACTTAGAAAACTTGATACATTTTTTAAAGAAAACTGTTGAAATGAAAAAGATTGGAAAACCCTTAAAATATTGTTCACATATGGATAATAAACTAAAACAAACTGGTTAACTGCACTTAAACAATGAAATTCAACTATACTGTAAGATATCACCAAAAATGTTTTACAGCAGGGAAAACGGTAAACATAACCCTCCTCTAATTAACCTTCTTCAGCTGAAGTTAATTTAAAGAGACAGTGTCCACTGTCTCACATTGATCTATGGAAAGTTTGTTCCATATCTAACTTACAGCCTGTCTGCTTGTTGCCTGTTTAAGTCAACCCCCACAATCTTAAGGAAATTAAGATTTTAAATGGTCTGTGTAGAACTTCTTCATGTCCGAGGACGCCAAAGAGCTTTCAACCATAATCTATCATTCGCCAATTCACGGACACATTTACACTCTGATGATGGTAAACTCATGGACTGATCTCCCTGCTGACCTCTGGGAAGAGGCTTCCCAGCATCCGCTGCAGGTCCAGCAGCTTCTGTAACAGCTTTTTCCTGCTGCCAAGAGACTGTTGAACTGCTAAACTCTAAACTAGACTCTGCATCAGACTAGCAACAAGATTTTGCACCACCAATCGGGCTGAAACTTTTATAATCATATTAAATAGGACACAGCTCTATCTTATATTGTATTTTGCATCATATTTATTTAGTACTGCACTGACCCTTTCCATGTTAATGTCCTTTCGCACCATTATTAACTGGTATCCCTTTTCTCCTATACTGTCTATACTATACTACGTGATGATCACTGCTGCACTTGATAATGGTAATGTTCACTTCGCTGTTGTAAGCTGTAAGAAACGTATCTTGGTTTTGTATCCACCGAGTGTATAATGACAATTACAATAAAGTTGGCTAAGTCTAAGTAAGTTGTAGACACACCTGACCCCTGGTGCACTGATAGAAGTAAGGCACCACCAGGTCCTCTGACCACCATTAGAGTGCCTCATGCTTCTGATGGTCATTTTGGTCGTTTTAATGCTGCAGCACCTGGTTCTGCATTGGTTTAATTTTCCTCAAAAATAATTTCCCCTTTTCATTCAGCCCCCTTAGCTCTTAAAACTCACAGTGAATCAAAACTTTCCAAAACTATCCAACTTCCAACTTTGTTCTTCACATTGTTTAAGGCTCTTTTTCTGGAATGCTATTGGTTTATGACGAACATGCCCTCACTTCTGCAGTCTATTAATTTTAATCTACTTAATCTGTTTAAAGAAGATTACTAAATCTGGTATTTATCTTTGTTTTCACTGGCAATGTTTAGTCTTACCTTTTATTTTGTTTTTTCCCAGAAAACCTCTTTGCACATCTCTCATCAAAGTTATACTTATTTAGTCTTTTTGTGATTGTACAGGCATGCACTTGGATACTAGCTGCATGAAGACCTTGATGTGGATCTTATTATAATATTTAAGGCTTTCTTTCTTATAATACTTATTTTAGGGTCTGTATGTCTGATTTTAGGTGAATTTACTTTCACATCCAGACCTACTGTATGCCTGTTTATAAAAAAAATAGTCTTCTAATAATTTTTCAGATAAAATAGCAGATAAAATATCAGTTAATTAGCAGATTTCATATTCCCTTTGGATTTTTTAAATCCACTGTCCGACTTTTAAATCTTGACATTTTAACAGTTACAATCCTCTTTCTGAAGGTATTTCAGCCTCATCACTGTGTTCACTCTAAAATTTAATAGCTCACAAAACTAAATATTTGAGTTATAAACAAGCCAAACCTGTTTTAAAAAGGCTGAGTAATGATGTGTACCTGATGTGACACTCCAAACACTTTTTTAATTAAAATTTGTGTGAACAAAAACACACTCTGAATCAGTGTCTGAACTTTTCCTTTACCTACCAGCTAGGACGTTTTAATTACATTTTACATAAAGAAAAAAATTATTGATATTCTCTGATGTTTTTTAAAGATGCAGTTTTAGTTTCAGTATCTTAAATATTAAAATTAAATATCCATGTTAGAAAAACACAAAAGTGAATAAGGTGACTCAAAATTTGACCGTATGGGTCATGTCAAAGATACTATTTTGAGAGACCTTAATTATCTCTCAGGTATTTAAACCGAAATGAAAGATGTAAAAAATGCATTTAATGAAAATAATAAGTAAATAAAAATTTTGTACAGACTGACAAGTTAGAAGTGTCAACTAATTTGTGCAATAATATCAGTAGATTTACTTTTATCTACTGTGGAAACTTAGACTTATTCTGCTGAGGCCAACATTAAACATGATAACCAACCAAATGTTCATTCTGCCAGCACATTGCTAATCCAGGCCATACTGAATGAGTCTTCCCTGTCCTATATCAAACCCACCTGTTTACAAACAACCTAAAGAGCGAGGTCTGTACCTTGTCGCATTAGTGCTCCAATGCCAAACCAAAAACTGTTGAGTAAAGTGAAGTTGTTCTGGACTAGACTTGAGGATGGGTTGCATGCATGTGGGTTGTACCACTCATACGGTGTAAACCTGAAAGACAAAGAAGAAAAATAGAGATAATCTATGATCAGAGACAAAAAGAATGCATCAAAAAATGAGCCGTGAGTTTTTTCCAGTATCATTCCACTGTACGTTGTGCCATATACTCAGAGCTTATAGGTACTATGTACAACTTGAAATGGTGAGAAACAAACTTTATCGACAGACTGGTGCGTTTTGACAAGAGGTATTCGTCAGAGTTACAGTTATCCTGTTTATAATTATGAAAACCATATACCCATGAGGGCAATTTAAAAAAAATTACACACAGCATTGACCTTGTTGAGATTTTGGCATACAGCTGTCTCATAGATCAATCTACCAGGTTAGTTTATTGACAGCAATATTTCCCACATGTACTCATTTACTGGTTTACCTTGCAATCACAAAGAGCACACAGCTGACTCCAGTGCAGGCTAAAAGCACATACATCCAGATGTCTGGGGACAGAGGGTTGAGGAAGGAAAACACGCCTGGATTGGTTCCGTTGGGTTTTCGGTACAATATGCTAATTCCTAAAGTCATGAAAGGCTTAGAAAAGTCAATCACTTTTTCTCGAACGTAGGTGATAGTCAACGGAGCCACCGCAAGGTCTGCCACCTGTTATAAAAATGCACATTCTTAAAGACTGATTTGAAAGAAGAGTTGATGAATGATTAACATGGAAGTTTTTACTCACATGGTCGATTAGCTCCCGGACCATCCCATTCCATTCTCCCTTATCGTTCTGTGCTCCATACTTCCCATCACCAACTAGCCGGACTTCATATGTAAAACCCAAGATGTTGGAGAGCTCCTTCAGTAGGTCCATGCAGTAGCCCTCATAACGGTCATTTCCAACCAGCTCCTTGTCCGACTTTTTTACCATCACATAAGGATTTTCCTTAATACATTATAAAAAAAAATTGTTTTATCAAAAAAGAAATAAGAATCAAATCTCAAAGGATTGCTTGTTTTAAGTACCTCTGTTCATCAACATAAAACCTAAAGATTTAGTCCGATGATACTTTGCTGTGTTTGATGCAGACAAGAAAGCCAGTTGTGATGGCTAAGGCAAGGCAAGGCAATTTTATTTGCCTTGCACAGTTCAGCACATGGACAATTGAAAGTGTTTTACATAAATTAGATAGTAAAACAGAAGGAAAATAAAAGAAGAATAAAAGCAAAAACATTTGTAAAATAAATAAAACAATTGGACTACAAAAAACTGAATAAAACTAGTAAAAGAAATTAGTATTTTTATTTTATTCTCTCACTGTAGCTCCACCATTTCATATGAGCCCATCATTCCACCATTGTGCTACTTTCCCCTTTAATCACCTGTATGGTCGTGACAATCAGAGTCCTGTTAGCCAGAGAGTCCGTCACATTAGTATTCTTTTCCCGGTTGGTCTTCTCCATCAGTTTCATCCCCTTGTATGAGTTCCAAATAGCCACCTGGAACCACAAACAGAATTTCAGACTGAAAAAAATAGCATCTGCTGCTTTATCCAGATCGACACATGCTACATGTGACACCTGCTCCACTCAGCAAAGAAGGCTGACAGAATTTCAGTTCCGACTCTTTGAATAAACCATAAAAACCAGAATAAAGATGTTATGTGATCACTAACACCTGCATCTTTAAAGGGAATAAGCTGGTTGAGTTTTTTTGTTTTATTCACTGGTGAAAAATACAATCATTTTATTTGTGTTTCTTTCAAGGCTAAAAAGAAAGCTGGAAGCTGCTTCAATGGGTTTTATATTAATCATATTTTCTATGTTGGTGAAGTAAGAAATTAAAAGAAAAGTGAAGGTTGGAAGATCTGATATCCATGCCTATGTTTAAACTTTCAAACCAATTAAAGGTCCAAAACATTTACCTTTACTTGGCTTAAGTCTAAAGCTTTTCAGCAAAATATATTAAAAAAAAAGAGTATTCATGTTAGTACCAAGGATAATAAAGTGGAAAATTTGTTTGTTTCAAATAAATAAGGTTAAAAAAATGAAAAAAAAAAACAAATTTTCAGAATATAATTGAACAAAATAATTAACCTTATTAACAATATAATTTTGATAAAGTTCTGAACTTTGAATATGATTTTTAAACTGTTTAAAAAACTTTAAAGTTATACTACTTTATCCACTCCAAACCCAGTTTCTATTGGTCTTTTGGATCATCAACCAGCTTGAAAACTTTAGAGGTATCTCTTAGTTGGTTCTCCTTCCCCTATGCATCAGAATCACTGACTGGTCACACAGCTCGATGCTTCCATAATCACAGAGCTTATACGGCTAAATTAGGTTTTAAAGTTTTTACTAGATTTAAAAAAATATATTATTCTTGTCATGAAGGAAAACATATTTAAGGTTTCCTCTTTCCTAACCAAATACAAAGATATTTCATTTGTTTACAGGGGGAAGAAGCAATTTCAGTTGAGCTATTAGATGTCAATTTTGGAGGGTTACCATATTTCTCATCAATCTCTCAGGTCATGTTATTGTATGACTTCTACAACTGAGGGAACTAAAGCCGCTCCAGCATCGTCAAGTTATAACATTAAGCATTTGTGGATTGTTGAGTTTTCTGGAAAAATCCCAATTGATTTCCTAATTTATTGTCCAACAATGGGGAAATTCACTCTCTGCATTTTATCCATCCCCTTGGGGAGCAGTGGGCTGCCATTGTGTGGCACCTGGGGAGCAGTGTGGGGTTAAGGGTTTTGCGCAGGAACCTAGAGTGAAGGATGTGGGGATCGAACCGGGTACTTGCAACCTTCTCAGAGCACAAGCACACTCGTCTAACCCCTAATATATAAAGGTTTGGTTGAAATCATTTAAATTCATCAGAATACGAATTCTGATTAATTTAATTTAATTCAAATTAGATAAAGATCTTAAACATGTAGAGTTGTTTGTATTGTTTTGATGGTTGATTTTTGAAGGCTTTCATAAACCCTCTTGAATTAATTTGAGCTTGATGCTATTATGCCATTATATACTATAGTGAGAGCATACATCTTTGAACCTATCTATATAATCTTAACCCTGTGAATCAAAGGAAACCAATAAACATTTTAAACTTGCTAATTCACCTCTTTCTTTGAAAAGCTATAGAAGTTGTTTATTGCATATTCATTACTTTCTGAAAGAGGTCAGTCAGTTCAAAGGAAGCTGCTTAATCACGTCAAGAATGAATATATGCAAACTTCTAACCAAAACCATAGTATCTATGGTTTTCTCATTATTTTAACCATTAACACATTTTTAATACCATCTCTATTAGGCTTAATGAATGCACAAGGAATTTAAAGTAGTAGGCATAAACAGCATAGGTTTTAAATATCCCTGCGGTTAAAAAAAATATTTTTGTGTCTTCCGAAACAAATTACACATTTTTTTTGAAAATCTTCCATCATAAATTGAGTTTATATTTTACTATTTTTGCAAACATGCATATAACAAATCCTAAACTAAAGCCCAGTATAAATGTAACAGTAAAGAAATTGGATTGGCACCAGCAGGGAGAGCATGAATGAAAAAGGCGACAGAGGCAGAAGGGTTGAGAGGGGAATAAAGGCAACACAGAGTCTGTGCTCCACACAGTTGCAGTGAGTGTGAATAAGGCTGGCCAGACCAGGCAGTTTAATCCCAACAGTTATCAGATTAAAACAGGCGTCTGTCAGACGGATTTTGAACCCCTCAAATCTCCTTAGTGTTTAAGTGCCAAGCAAGGGTCAGGGGAGCTCATGATAGTGATGCAATAAAGTTAAGCGCATTAACTTATTACGCGTCACTGTTAATAGACACAAACTGCGACAAGCTTTTCTTTTCTAGCGTTGAACTCTCTAAACACAACAACTTTTTTACTTGAAAACAATGGCCTGTTCTGTCAACCAGTGCAAAGAGGATGACGAGGAATGAATGCATCAGTGCCTCTTATGTATCGAACTGAAGTCAAAAGGGAATGCACTGTTTTAAAACCTAATCAGAAAATGTTTATATGGAAATCTCTCATCCAAATAATACCACATCCGCTACTTAATAGATGCCCCATTACATTCATTTGCAAAGAATAAAAAAAAAAAAAAATAAAGAGAATCTATAAATTCTGACACCCTTATATACTTGTACCAAAACATTGCAAAAGAGGGCTTTTAAAATGCTATACTAACAGCTGATTGGTTTTTGTTTTTCATTAATTCAACTATTGATTTAAATCTTGCAAAAGTAAGAGTTTGCATTTAACCTCTGAATGTTTCCATGGTAAAACTCCAGTGTTAAAGATATTCATTTTAATTTTAAAAGTTAGCACACAGCTCAACTTTGCACACATCTTCAGTGAATACAACTAGAAACCACCAATAAGGCTCAAAATCTGGGTGCAGTGATGGACTTAGATCAGAACCTAGAGGCAACAAAGTCATCCTTCCATCACCTAAAAAACATCTATATAAAAGAGCTATTGTTTCAGAACGACCTTGAAAAATGAAATAATGTATCTCAGAGACGAGACTTTAAAATTCTTCTGTTCTGGTCTATAAATCACAGAATGGCTCAGCATCAAAATACAATAGAGACTGGTCAGTGTTTCTACCATCCAGACCTCTCAGGTCTTAGGGTTCAAATTTTAAATCTCTCACTACTGTGTATTCAGACAGCTGTTTGTGTTTTATCACACAACAGATAAAGTTAAATATTTAGGTTAAAATAATTATGATTTAACATGAATATAATATTCTAACCTTTGAGGTTGCCTTAGAGCACTGTTCAATATATCATCTTAAATGCAAAGAATATGAACTATGAACCTATCAAGAACTACCATTTACAATGAACAGAAGGGCTGCAGAAAATAATCGGACAATCACCTAAAATATGCTTTGAAACTTGAGAAAGCTAAAGAGATCCACAGTTCAAATGACTAGAAACATAAATTTTGCCATTGTTGAAACATTCATTTGCAGTTTACAATAAGTAATGCCAAAAAGGTGCCACATTAGTTTGTTTCAGAGTCTAAATGTATGGTCTACATGCAAAATTATAAAAAAATCAAAAACAGCATAGAACCTACAGCAAAACATCCTCATAGTAGAAAAAGCTGATACTTTATTTAAGCCAAATTTTCTATTAAACAATGTTATTTTTCTGGTTGGATCATCAAAATAAGTAAATAATTCTGGTGATATGTTTAGGGAAGGCTGTCCTACATGCTCTTCCCCATTTTCAATTACTAGTGGTGAGACTGACATAGTGGTAAAATTGCATATTTTCTCCTGGAAAGTAAGCTTGTATGACCGATGCAAACAGCAACTTTTAAACTGAACGAGCAAAGGAGAAATGGGCTTGTCCATGCTCTCACATGTTTAATAGGTGTTCCCTATTAAACAGTACAGGTATAGGTGCAGGTACAGGGTTTTGCATGTGCATTTTTTTTTAAGTGGAGAGGGCGGGTCTTCTCAAAAAATCACAAAAATCCTCCACTATAGCTTCAATTTAGGAGAGCTGAAGTTAAATGCATAGCACAATTTTCAAACATTCCTTTGAAAAGACATTTCTAAATCATGTCTCCTCCCATTATTCACGACTTTCCTTTGTTCTATTGCATAATAACCTTGCAGGTTGAGGTTAATATGGAAAAATAAAAATAAAAAAACATTGAGTAGTATAAATGCTCTTGTACATTTTTTTAAGTGTAATAGATAAAGGCTTACTATGACCCTTCATATAATCTATGATCTTTTTAGCTAAATGTTTTATTATCACCAGCAGCATCACTCAGGCTATGATGTTAGAAGTCTGACCAACTAAAAAAGCTGGAATGTATCATTAAAGCCCTGAGTCGTGGGTTTGCTGTACATTTATCATGCGTACTGGGGTGGCTTCCAATAAAGACCGCTATAAAAACTGACTTTCTTTCTCATGTGCTTTAAGAAAACGCTAAGAACCCTAAAGCTCATCCTTACTCAGAACCAAATCCAACTGAAAAGCCATTACCAAAGATTAGGGGCGTGCAAAGTTGAGCCAAGAAAGCTGGAGGCAGAAAACAAAAAGAAAAAAAACATTTTCAGAAAACTTTAAAGGATATTACCTTATTTCTTAATTTGCTTATCTTTATCCTTCTCTTCAAAGTGCACTTAAGATACCAGCACCTAAGAGCCAACCCAGCTGCAATAAGCCGATATTTCCCTTAAATGACCATGAAGTCAGGTGTTTAATGAGATGGTCGTTGCATATTATAAAGACCCCCCTGAGGATGAGTTTTAAACCCTAAAAGCCCAGCGTAAAAGCGAATCACAGTTGTGGAACTGGACAGCTGTTGACTGTTCACATAACTGCCTGTCTGACAACCGAAGCAGATGGAGTTAGTGAACTTTGCAAACAGCCTTCTTAAGAGGATGAACTGGTTTAACATCTGTTCTTTGGCTCATGTGTTTAAAAAAATATAAGAGTACTTGAGGTCATTATGAAATTAAATTAAAGAAGTATTTCATGAATGTTAAAACAAGGTCCTGCTGGACAAAGAGTAGGGAATGAATGAATAGCTTCAATTTCAATTTCAGCAATTTTAGCTTCAGTTACTGAATCCATAAAAAGACAAAAAACAGATTTCTCTTTTGGTTATTTTTTTCTACAACACATTTTTCGCTAAAGTGAATTGCTGTTTATTCTAACTTGACAGGCGGTCTTTTATCACTCAGAGCAGATTCAGATTTGTTGGTCTGGTAGACTGAAGCTAAGCTACGTTCCTACTCCAGGTAAATACAACCCAAAAGTTACCTGTCTTTGCTTTCCTAAACTTTAATAGGCAAATACATACTGTATTGACCCGAATGTAAGACGTTTTGTTTTTTTTTACCTTAAAAACAATGGGAAAATGTGGAATTGTCTTATAATCGGGGTCTAACCAATTATACAGGCTCACAGGATTGCTATATGAATGGAAAAGCAGAGGGCGCCAGTTTTTTGTCATCTTTCTATCACAAAAAATAAGTGACAAGGATAGTACAAATGATGAGTCACCGCCTACAATGGAGTGGATCTAACATCTGAAAAGTTTGCAGACATTTGAGACGGAAACCAATTTTAAAATAACCGTGGTCAACACAGTGGAGGCCTCAAACAACTCTCAGGCAGCAAAGAAGTATGGAGTTACAGAGTGCAATGTCAGAAGATGGCACGTTCAAAAAGATCGAAAAAAACGTTAACCGGAAAAAGAAAAGTTTATAAAAGTATTGCAGAGCAGCAGGGTAAGAGTAGGAGTGACAGCGAGCGCAGCAGGGCAGAGGACGTCTGTGAGAAAAAGCCTCATGCAGGTTCTTGAGACGTTCCAAGAACAAAGTTCAGATTGCATTCAAGTTGAAGTGTTGCAAGATTTCAATTAAATGTCATTACTGTGTTGTTGTTTTTTTATAGTGTAATTGCACAAATCTTCCAATGCAATATTAATATCAATAACATTTTGAACACTTCAATATAAAGTAGTTTCTTAGAATAGTATTTTTTTTTCCTCTATGATCTTTTTATTTTGTTCCTTAAAACTGGTTCTGGTATGACAGGGCCTTCTTATAATCAGGTCAGTACGGTGATATCTTTTTCTCTGGCTGCTATTTCTAAACCTTAACTCCAACACTGTTGTCTCTATTATCTCTATCTGTCTCTGAAGGGTGGATATATTTTATCCCAATATATTCCTTTTAGCCTGCATAAATGCATGATGGTAATCTAAAACAATGAACATGGTTTCCAAAAAGAATCTTAGCAAACGTGGTTGTTTTCCTCTCATTTATCACAACAAGGAGTGGTTGACTCTGAATAACATTAGATAAGCTGAAGGGAACATGTTTATTCTTTCTCCAACAAAAGGTATCACTCTTTCTAGTTCTTAAAACATTTTTTTTCTTTCTGTTAAAGCTGCTAAGAAAAAGTTGTATTTTTCATATCAATCAAAACTGATATTGAAAGAGTGAAAAAGGTGAATTGTCAAAATGGCGTAGCTGTACACAAAACCAGTGAAGGGTAAAAAAGTTGACAAGGCAGGTAACAGAAGAGGTGGGCGGCATACAGAATGAAAAACACTGGGAGGTAGGAAACAACACAGGCTTCAACCAAACATGGCACAGAACAAACCTTGATCCACCTTTTTGTGAGGCGACTTGTGCCTTCCATAACACCCTTTAGAAAATGCGAAGAAGGCAACATGAACCACAGACAGCATGGAAAGAAACAGTCAGTTGGTACAACATTAAGAACATGCATATATCAGAAACTTAAGTGTGATAAATGTGTCTTTTAGAAACAAACCCAAAATAGAAATGCATGGTGCCTGTGTTATAGCCTTTTCTTTAGCGTAGTGTACTCACTCTAGCAGTGCCGTCTTCTTGAAGGCTGATAATGTCCAAATCAAAGTCTCTCCTTAGCCCATCTGTCTTATTAAGAACAATGTGTCCTGTCAGTCCATCCCACTGTGCCTAAAAGAACAGACACATAGAAAAAAAAAAGAGCAGCAGGTAAGCCTCAGTGCTCTGCATTTGAGGGGAGTTAATAAAATACCATGTCCCTGAAAGAATGAGAGGGGATAAGTCTGGGTTCATAGACAGCTTGAGTGGGATGTGGGGAATAAAAGCTCCATCCAATCAAAAGAAAAAAAAAGGTTTTAAAATGCATGTGAGAGAATGTTTTTTTTTTTCATACTTCTTTTTTATTAAACTTTTTTTTGCAAAGCAGAGATGACAGGGAGAGCAGAAAACAAAGCACTGATAGTGCACAAAAACACAGACATTAAAGCCTGGTATGATAAACAACAACCACAAAACAAAAACAAACCAAAGAAAAATAAGTAATATAAAACAAACATTAAATAAATAAATAAATAAATAAAGTAATCAGGTGCATCCAAGAAAATAAAATAATACATACTCAGGTTTGATAACTTATCACACTCTAACTCTGGGTCTCTATCCCAGGCCAGGTCCATAAGCTCTGACCTCAACCTGCGAGATTTGGCAACACCTAGGTAAGTCAAGAAACGGACTCCAGGGGTCCGTTTACCAAAAACTCTAAGTTGTCTAAACCTGAAAACAGGGAAACTCTGAATTTTCTGGGTCACAAATAGAGTTTTCTGACCCTCTGTTTCAGTAATCAGAGTAACATTCTCCCCCGAGCTAACCTGGACGGTAGCAGGTTTCCTTCAGTAATCTCATAGTGTCCTCTGTCTCCACTCTCCTTACAGCCACGCTGTTCTATTTCCTGATTTAGTACCATTTTTGGCACAGCTTTGTGCATAAACAAATATATATCGTTCACTAGGTCTGTTAGACAGGGCGTGAGATTACTTGTTTTTGGTTTGTTTAATATGAGCAAGATCCGGATCATTTTATTTTTATTCAGTTAAATTTACAGTACATGAAGAACTACTGAAATTCTTTTCAGATTACACATAACTAGATTCATTAATTCCACGGGGGAAAAGGAACTACTTTAGAGTTAGGATTAGGATTCACTCAATGATAACAACCTAATGAGCCTACTGACACAACCTGAAGCCATTCTATGGGCCTGATAGTAACCATTTATTGGGATGACAACATCTGAAGCGCGGCTGCAAACAGCCACTTACTGTGTAAAAGAAGACTGTATCGACATGAGGGGGGACGCATAAGACGATCCACAGGTTCTATATATATATATATATATTTTACTTTTTTAACATTTTTGGAATGACTATGACCTGCATGACTGAGAATCTTCCCCAGCATAGTGCCTTAAACCTATATCCAAAATCTCTGATATAACTATGCTTAGAGAAAACCCCAATTGGTAAATAATAATTGGTACAGTTTTTCTTAAAGCTGTTATTGCTGACTGTTGTTCTCAGTTTCATTTATAGCACCTGATCAAGCCTTTTCTAATATGCAAACACTATGAACTAAGTAAGAGAAGCTTGTGTGATTTTTGATGATATCAGGTATCAGGTTAAAATCAGTATTGGTCATTACTAAAAGTTACTAAATTGTTTTATTGGGACACTTCTAGAGATAGGCAAACTTAATTATGAGAAAAAAAAATGTTTCCTCATATTTCAAACATAAGGGTTCTCAAATTTTTTTAGCAAAGTTTCATCTTCATTTAAAGTGGTAAAATTAGGCCCCTATTCCACCTTCTTTACCTGGCGTCTGGGCTCCCTCATGGTTCTGTCCAGTGCAACTACTGGTTACACTGAGAGTTAGGATTTGCTGAATTTTAACGAACATAGCGGCCATGGAAACAGTGTTTTTGAACTTTTTAAACTCTTTCCTTGCACATATGCGTGAAAAAAGCTGCAAGAAAATGTGAGCATCATTCCCTTCAGATTGTCTTTAACTTAAGACTCACTCTGGATGCGTTTCAGGCAGACGAACACATGTAATTCCCCCTCTGCTTAGAATCGTCATCTTGATTATTCAACAGCCTGATACAGTTCCTGACAAGAATAATGCACTTGAACTAATTCACTTCCCAGCAAATGATTTGCAACTTTATAGACAAACACAAATTGATGATAATTGTGAAGGAAACAGAGAATGATGAACTGTTTTTAAAGTTTTTAGGGAAATAATTAGAGGATATATCAAAACATAAGGTAACTCTGAAAGAGCTGCAGGGATGCACAACCCAGAAATTGAATTCATTGTTTTTTTTCTATTAAAGATGCATCACACAAATCTTGCCTTTATAGAAAATTAACAGAAAGCCATTGCTGGATGAATGTTTAATTAATTTAAAGTCCACCCCCTCTCGAAGGCAGGTTGAAGGCACAAAGATGTAGAAAAGATTCCCTTGGACAGATAAAAATGAACTATTTGAGATACAAATTATATATGTGGTAACAGCAGGAGCCTGTTACATGGATGTTTTTCTTTAGCTGGTGATGGGGAAGCTAGTTACAACTGACGTGAATACAGTCAATTGATTTTAACATTACATAGTCCTGGAAAAAGAACTGGTACAGGTTGGAAAATACTTAAAACTAGGGCAGAGGTTCACTGTATAGCAGGTCAGTCATCATGGATTAAAGAGAAAACTGAATGTTAGAAAGAAATTAAATCCTTGTGTCTGAAAAGTTCAGTTAATGTCAATACTAGCATTAATCCCACTTAATATCTCTGAAAATGTAGGGGGAAAATATATTTCCATTGGTGTTCTACATCCAGTCAGACTTTTCTTGAGAAATATAAAATAGAAATGCTCCAAAGGGTGGTTATGTGATGTATTCAGTCAATGGGGGCTAAATGCAAAACATCAATATATGCCACACTTTCCATATTTCATTTGAACTATTCTTTGAACCATTCATTTTCCCCTTCCTTCCCATGGATGTCGATTTCATGATTGTGTGCGAAATAGAGGTTTTGATAGATGTTTCAGGAGATAATTGTTTTAATCAAAATTCCTCCTTTTTGGCCCCAACATTATAAGCTATACAAAGTATAATTTAATCAGGATGTAAACTGAGGGTTCAATACAGGAATAAATTACACTACAGTAGATTCACTATATTCCTAGATGAGTTTCATTTTAGACATGATTAATTTCAATTGGAACTTTCAGCACAGAGGGCACAGAAAAACTAATTTGAGAAAACAGTTCCCTACAACTGTTACCATTTAAACCCCAGGAAATTATTCATAATTTATGGTTCTCTAAGGGTATGATCTACTCTGAATGATAAAAGACCGTCTGTCAAGGTAAAATAAAAAGCAATTAACTTCAGCCAAAGACATATTGAACAACAAAATAACCAAGAGAGAAATCAGCTTTTTGTCTTTTTATGAATGCAATAACAGAAATGAAAGCTAGTCATTTATTCACTACTCTCTGGTAAATTTTCTTTTTGTATTCAGTACTGTTTGAATATGTACAGCAAGACAACCTTGAATTAAATTATATATAACAAAAGAGAGATATGGTAAATAAAAACAAAGGCTACAATTTAAAATTCAAACAAAGAAATGCATGACATTAAGAAAAAGTAAGGGGATGGAGTGATACTGTAATATTATCCCCCAACGGCTGGAAAAAGTCCTCAACTGGATATAAGACTTAAAGAGATCAAACTACTTGAGCATCAAAGGAATCATTTCTGTCCGTAGGGCATTCAGTCAGGCAGCTGGGCTATAGGCCACAGGTTTTAAACCTCTAAGTACATAAACAGCATTTATATTTTCATACCGACTGCTTTCATTTGAAGGGGACCAGCAAAATATTTCATTTCACTTCATATCATGTTTGTTTGATATTCAACTCCAAAGCTCCAAAGCCGCAGCATAAATTTGACAAAATTTACTGTGCTTATGAAACCCTTTAAAAACATGCTCAGTATATCTTGAAAAAATGTATGTCTATGGCAATGAGGTTAAAAGTAGTAACATATGTCAGGTTTTTGGCTCTTTAACATGACATTGAAACTCTCACCTCCTTGAACAGGTTCATAAAGCGAGGTCCAAAGCGCCAGGGTTTGTGGCGGTGGCACTGCAGTGAACTGACGGTCATTTGAGTGGCCCGCTGTGACGCAACAGCAACCATGTAGACCGCATCAAACATCAAGGCTGCATCTGTCTATAAATAACATATAAAAGTAATTACATAACAACAAATCAAGGACAGAATTATTAGAAAATGGTATTTAAAAAACTGAACCACAAAGCTTGATGGGTTTTTTCTTTGCTCATTGCTTCACTTCATACATTATTGCTTGTGTCAATCCTTTTATCCACCTACATGTGTACATCGTCACAAAGAGTTTTCCCTCTAATTGTGTAGAAAATGTTCCAGTATTGTAAGCCAATGTTGTGCAGGTAATGAACCATGTCATGTTCTAAAACCCACTGTGAAAAATTGCTTTAACATTGATTCTGTTTAAAGTGGAAAAATACATATTTTTTGCAAATTTTCCTAAAGATCTTAGCAAATGTACTTTTCCCTCTGCCTTCAGAACTTTGATATGGAGCAAAATGACAAGGCCTTTTATTAAACGTAACAATCTTGATAAACAAGACTTGAGTAAAAAGGTAAAGAGGTGTATTTTAACAAAACTAAAAGATGTTGAATAATCTTTTGGTTGAATAAATATGCTACTTTTGGAAATATCCGTTTTGGATGTAATGAGCCAAAAAATGCCATAAATTATTATCAGTTATCAGTCACATAGATTGGCTTCAGACTATGCCTCCTATCTTCTAGAAGGTTTCTTTTGGCTGATAATATGCAGTGTAGCGTTGATCACAGCTGCTTCTGCTGCATCTAAAAGCATACGTTTTATTTACCATTTGCCTACTTCATACTTTTGATCAACTGTATTTACAATATACCTACAGTACTATAAAAAATGCTTTAAATCTTTACTTTGAATGAATTTCATGCATTTTAAGCCATATGGATTTAATTTGATGTTTAACAACAGCTCAATTGACTCAATGAGATTTTGTTTGTTTAATATGAGTAACGTGGATTATTTAATGTATCTATTTTTTTTTTTTAACAATAGAAGAACTACTATAACTATGTTCAGATTACACACAAAGAGATTAATTAGTTCTGTGGGAAAAAATAATGACTTTAGGGTTAAGATTAGAATTTTTTTCTCAGTTTTTTTCTTGAGGACATTTTAACACCTGAGCGAAAGTACGGCTGCCTTTCAATTTAGGCCTGTTTTGTTACTATCTCTTATATTGCTAACTCCTTTCCTTTGGAATGCAAAATAAGTAGAATACAGTTTAAGCCTGTTTTGTCGTTGCCATGACGCCGATGACTGAGAATTTAGGCAAATGTAATATTCAGTGGGTGATTTGCTACAGCAGGACCAGGCCAGCTCACCATTATAGAATCCCTTATTGATTATACTGCATATCATAGGATGCTGAAGGTAATATGGGATCGCATGTAAAACTGAAGCAGAGCTGGACCCTCCAACAGGAGAAGGACCCAAAACATATCAGTAGATCTACCAAGGAATGCCTGAGAGTTAAGAAAGTAAAAGCCCTGAAAGTCCAGAACCAAAACCTGTTGAGACGCTGTGGGGAGATTTAAACAGGATGGGCATGCAAGACGCCTGTTAAACATTTCACAGCTGAATGTACTCTCCATTAGAAAGAGAGATTGAAAGACAGCTTCATCAAGATTTTTTTTTGTTTAATGATTTCTGCAACTTGATCTATTGTGACATACTGAAATTAATAGTTACAGTTTTATGATCCTGAGCATCTTTGAAGCATTCATTGCATTTACTCCTAGATGGTAATATCTATCAAATCCTTCATGTATTCTTCGATTTGCATCAGAGAGGAAGAAAAAAAAAAATCCATCAGCATTTAGATTAGAAAACGTTCTGCTTGATTTATTACCCTTTAATAAAAAAAAAATTTTTCTAAGTTACTTTCTATGCAAGGGAAACTGTGTTACATGCATTCACAGCAGCATCTGGTATCAGCAGCTTTAAGCCAAGACTTACTGTCATGACTCCTTCCATTAGACCGCTTTCCTGCTTTGGACCCTGCACTCTGTCTGAGGCCCATTTGTCAATGGTTGAAGCTACCCATGGATCATCAAAGTTAAGCAGTCTGAAACCGGTCATGTTGACCCCACTGTAGCGGTAGGGCTCCAAGTCAAGAGCAAATAAATCCTGCAGAGTACAGATCAGATGGAAACCAGAAAGGTGAGGAAGATCTGAGTCGATCAAAATCAGACGCTGTGACATTCTATTTTTTTTTACCTCATGTCAATGAACTGAATCTATCAAAACCAAAAAGTTTTTTTTAATGATCTCACCAAGGTTGTGAAGAAAAAATGATAATATTCTGTCATCATTCCCATAGATGAAAGCTGAAAAAGAATACAAGATGTCATTACATATTTATAAAGAAAAGTACAAAAAAAAAAATCTTAAACAAACAAGAAATAACACTCTAATTTTATACCAAGTACATTTTTTGTAAATTTAAAATAAACTCATTTTAGTAAAAAGATGAATGATTCTCTAATGGTTAAGAAATAAAAGGAGAAAACAAATGTTCTGTCTCATCTGCTCTTTTGCTGGAGGCTATGGAAACAAGTAAAGCTTTTTTATGTTTTCAGATATCTCCATAAATTGTCATTTAGAAGCAGTGAACAAAATAGTTTCATTAGGTTAAAGGTCTGCTGGACTTAAAATACATTTTAGATTTTTTTTAAATGCGGTGAGACTAATAAACCTACAGTACAGCTAGAGAAGGAAATAAATATGCAGTTGTTTATATCCTTTATAACTGCCTTTCAAAACAAATAAAAAAGTATTTGTATGATTTTGTTTTTGTTCTATATGAATATGCTTTTACAAAAAAAAACTCTAATTGCACAAACTCCTCATAATAATTGTTTATGTGCTTAGACAAATATAAAAAAGGGAAGTAAAATAAAAAAAATGTCATTACAGACCTGTTTCAGAAGTTCTGAGGCCGTGCGATAGGAGCAGTCAAAGAGGATAAAAAACTCTCTGTCTTTCTTCAGTTCCTTCAGCAGAGGTCGAGCATCTTGGTTACCAGGGGTGAGCTGACGTATCCTGATCTTTAAGTTTAACTTTGCTGGAGCTTTAATCAACTCCTGCATCCGCATTAGTCCTGCAATCAACACACATTGAAATGATTAAGTCTTTACTTGACTTAAAGGTATAGTGGAGGACGTTCTTTTTCTGGGTGGATCATCAAAATAAGTGGTCCTCCTAATTGTTAATCATTCTGGGGATATGTTTACGTAAGGCCGTCCTACGTGTTCGTCCCCATTTTCACTTACAGGTGGTGAGTCTGACATAGTGGAAAAATTGCAAATCTTCTTTTGGAAAGTAAGCTTGTAAGAGGGATGCAAACAGCAACTTATAAACCGAGCGTGCACAAGGAGAAATGGGCTCTGGCATGCTCTCACACACGTTTAGTAGGTGTTCCCACTTAAAAGCGTGTACAGTGTTGTGATTGTGCATTTGGATAGGGCAGGTCTTTTCAAGAATCTGCAAAGATCATCCACAATACCTTTAAGACTCTTGGATTCATTAGGTTTTCTTGAAAGACTTATCAAACTCCACTAATATAAATTCTGTTTGGAAGTCTAAAAGAAAACATCACTGAAAATATTTACTTTTTTCATTTATTTTTTTACAAATACACAAGAATGTTTTAATTAAAGCATCTCTTAAAATACCAGATAGACCATCAATACGATGTTACACATAGGATGGCACTGCAAAGGTTAAAAAACTGACCTTTTATTTCTCTATGCACACAGAGATGTACAAACTTGATAGAAAACTAAACTCTGACCAAGAACGATATTTGATATTTTGATGATATGATATTTTACTGCATATGATGCTTCAGCATTTGTTAAATCAAGCCTAATTGCAATGCTATGATTTTGTAATCATGACAAACTCTTCAGATGTATGTCATTGTAATTCTGTATAAATCATTGATCTTTTTCAGCAAGGTAAAAACTAAGTAAGCTTATGCCTTGTCATAGTCAGTGCCTACCTTTGACATTCTATGGGTGAGACTCACACCTAAGGACAATTTAAAGTAACCAATTAACCCAACAGTCATGTTTCTGGCCAACCCATGCATGCACAGAGAGAACATGCAAACTCGATGCAGAAAGACCCCCGGCCAGAAATCGAATCCAGAACTTTCTTGCTGGAAGGCAACAGCACTACCCTCTGCTCCACTTCTGTGCAGCCCTGCCACTAAATATTAAAATTCCACCTTTTCTCTAAAATTTTACCACAAAGCTTTGAAGGAATAATTGCTTCTCAGATAAACTTCTCCATTAGTCATTGCCTGATCCCATGTCAATGGAGTGATGTTTTGAACTCTAAGTGCTGAGTCTGCACAAAAAGCTACCATAATTTAAGACAATGGGCAGTGACAATTTTAGGTAAGGCAACGTGTGCAGTTTCCCACTGCAGAAAAGCAATGGGTGCAAAAACACCAATTTCTGCAAGTAAAATAAATAATTTTCAGCAACAAGTTCCATGTTAAATAAGTTTTATATTGCTTGTGAAGTGAGTCGATATTTGGCACCAATCTAACAAAAAGGGGGTAATGTTTTTTGTTCTCTGGTTGGAGGGAGCAGTTCATACGATTAGCCTGTGAAGCTTTTTCTCTCATCTGATATCAAAGGTGATTTCATGAACTGCCACAGCCACAAATAAAAACCCTGCTACACTGGAATTTTGATTCCAGTGTTTTATTTATTTTATCTATAACATATTATCTTTAAATCATCCAGCAAGCCTATTTTTTTTTATTACACTGATTTCCATCCAATGTTGAGACAATCAGCTTATCCTGCAAATAATTCTTTGTTTTGAAGCCCAAAGAAAGAAAACATCAGACTTCTAATAACTTACAACCACTGTGGTAATATCTTGAAAGCAAAAAGACCACCAACACCAACAATCCCTTTGCACAAATGAGAGAAAGTGCTAAAAAAAAAACTCAGGACAACCCAAGCTGGTTTAGCAAGTTAACTGTCCAGTATGTGTTTGATTTCTAAATTTTTAGAAATATATGCTCTATATGCAAACATTGATAGTGTTATATGTGCTCTAATTTTAAATTAACATGAGTGCAATCAATAACAAAATTTCTCGGTTCCAAAATAAAAAATGTTGGATTAGCTTTTGTTGCCAAAACCGTAATTTGCTCTAATAAAAGACTATACACTCAGACTGATCTTTCCATAACTTGTTTCTCTCCAAGACACAACAATTCAAGGCACTATTGCTGTGAGTTTTCTTTTTATCCTTGAGCTTTTACAGTGAGCTCAGGGCCTACTGTACACATTGAGCTATAATAATCTCTGAGCCACCAAAGGGGCTGCTGCAGCTGTTATCGAGAATCAATAAACTTTATTGTCACTTTTGACCCATGATTAAATTTTTGTTGGCGCAGGATGAACATATAAAGAACTTTTTTTTTTTCTTTTATACAGACACTCATTGGCCATCCGGGTCAAATGCTATTTTTCCTTTGATTTCTGCAAATCAGATGTCCGCTGTTGTCATGTTCTTATTTAGGAGAGGGGAATGCTCTAAATCAGTGAGTTGATACACTTACCTGTGTTTTCCTTAACAAAGCTTCATCGGCATTTTGAATTATAAACTGAACATGACAACATTGCAATGGTCAAAGTGGGATGTATGTAATTGACTTTGGAGCAGTCAATATGATTGAAGTGAAATTACTATATGCAGTACATCGCTATATAAATGTGATCTTTAGCAAAATACCTTATGACATTTGTTGTGACATGTTGCAATGTTAATAACCTGAAATAACTTAATTGCAAAGAAGATCCATCTGCATTGCCTGACTGAGGAATATTTATTGATTAAGGAAAAACAAACATTTTCGTATTTCTTCATTTAGGTCTTTTCAGAAATTAGTAAAAAGCCACATCATGTCAAGTCCTGAAATTATTAGTTACTAAAATTATATAGAAAAAGAAAACAACTTTTTTTTTTATCACAGCTTCTGCAGTGACTTAGGAAAAGACAATTACTGCACAACCTAACAAACAATTGATTTCAATTTCTTCTGAATGCTGGAATTAGTGAGGTCAAACAAAAATAAATGAATTACATAAACAGCTTTGTTAACTTCTGCCTGAGATTTTAAAGCTTTTAAGAGTTACGACTGTGATTTAACTATATATTCAGTGGCCCCTACCTGTGCTATCTTCATAGACGACCGTTAGCTTCCTCCATTTGAAAAACGTCACCACATCTAGGATGGCCCGAGCAATGGCTGTATACTCAGGATACAGGTTGATAAAAAATGTGTCCTTGTTGTCCACTGACGGGTGCTTCCAACGAGTCTGTATATGAGGAACTTCCAGAGCGTTGCAGATAGACTGTACAGCACTGACTGAGGAGCTATGAGAGGGTCCAAACACTGCAACTACCCCAAGGGCAAGCTGGTCACACACTGGTAAAGGAGAAAAACAAAACATACAAATGCATTATTCTAAGGTTAAAAAAAAAATAAATGTAGTGAGAAATAAAAAACTTGCTCCATGTGCTTTGAAATAAGCTTAAAAAAGGACTATTGATGAAAAACAGTACAGTGCTAATATTTATTTTCCCAAAGATTATTACAAGCTTTTCCTATGAATGCGGTGGTCGGTTGGAAATGAACTCCAAATATTTGCTAAGCTTTAAAAGTTTGGGCATGATATATCATTTTTATATCAGTTTAAGGCCATCCTTTTTATTTTGTCAATGTGGCTTGCTTCAACATTTGGTACAGTAAGTATGTATGTCTTCTTAATATGTTTGTTTTCCATGCATAAGATTTCTGTATTAAAATAATTTCTTTGTAGGTAATATAATATTAAGGTCTTCTGATAAACTAAATTTGGGGTTTCTATTAATTCTAAGTTATATTAATCATATTCAGTCTAAATAAATCCCAGTAATGTGTGATTTTCACTTTTCAAATGAATTACTTAAATAAAATGATTGATTTAAATGTGAAAAACTCACAGGTCTTGAAAACAGTATGTCTCACTGAAAACAGGTGCTTGTCTACTGCCATACTTCTCTGCAGGGAACATGGATGTAGCTCTTAAAGCTAAAAGGTGATTCTGGGTCATAGGAAGACAATTTCCTACCTCTTCTTGAAGCCTCAAAGCCATCAAAGATGTTGATCCTCTGAATGTCGTAGGTTAGAGTGGCGTTGGGCATCAAGGTTTTATTGCGGTTGATGTTATTTACAGCAAACTTGAAGGCCAACTCGTCCATGCTCACTAACTCACTTTCCCTGGTCTCGAAAATGCCACCTGGACATGGAAGTGATTAGAAACAGGGATTGAAAAATAGTTTTGCGTAAAAATTCCCAACCCACACATAACACAGCACTCAATGCACACTAAGTTTTAAAGTCTTATGAATCTTAAACTATTTTAGCTCAAAGTTGAACCTGAAATCAAGCTGAGTCAATAGGAGTTATGATTCCAAAAAAGTAAACAAAAAACACAGGACTTGTTTTCCAAGTTTGAAGATGTTTCTCTTCCCATCCAAAGTTTTCTCATTTCAAAATGTCTGGAGTGGTGTTGAGTTCACTGCTTATATAGTAGCCGAAACATAAGCCTTCTTATGGCTTAGAAAACATGCAAATTGAACTGAAAAACAGGTCCACCCCTTAGTAACGGGGAGTCGTTGAGGTCGTTGTTGGTCTGAAAAACCTGATACCAGCCTATGCCTCTGAAAAGGGGGGTTGTTCGGGTCGTCGTTGGCCTGGCTAAACAGGGGAGATGTTTTGACTTTTTTTTGCCTTTGTTTGGGCTACTCTATAAGCCTGAAACTCAATGCCACTCCAGACATTTTGAAATGAAAAAGCTTTCAGGATAGGAAGCGAAACGTCTTCAAACTTGGAAAAAAAAGTCCAGTGGTTTGTTTTTTTTTACTTTTTTTGAATGACTATGACCTGGGTGACTGAGAATCTTCATCAGCAAGGAGTTGTGATTGTGTTAACACCTTTATTCATCAATAGTAGTTGTAGAACATTGCTGGGTTGAGGGATATCTGGGTCTCCCTGCCTGAACTGATACCCCTGTGACCCAGATCTAAGGTCTAGTCTCAGATAAGTAGAAGAAAAAGAGTTGGTGTCCATCTTCCCATAGACTGACTATCTTCCAGTAGCTGCTGAAGAAAATCACGTGCACTGCATGGTGCCACCACTATGTCTCACAGGGTTGGTATACTCAGCCATTCTTCTTCTAGGTGAAACATTTCAATGTTGGTGCTATCAGACCAGACTACAGACATGTCTTCTCTGCTCTTTATTCTGCTTATGGAAAAAGAGCAAATATGGCATAGTATTTCCTTCTTTTAACAATGGCTTTTCATATCACTTTAAATTTGCCATAGTTTAACTTGGTAGTATTTGTAGTTAATGGTTTAAAACTATAGCTTTTTGCAAAAACTTTTTTCAATAACAGTTGTTCTTATTCTACATAAGTCAGTCAACGTGAGTACAAGCTCATCATCAGCATCCTGTGAAGGGATGATTCAAAGACACGATAAAATGGTAGCATAATTGCACCTATCGAGGCTGTAACCATTTCAAAACAGGCTTTTGTATCATGAGTCAGAGCACATCCATAACTGTCAGCCGTTTATGTTTTTTTAGAACAGATTCCTGAGAATACAAATGAAGTGCTTTGCTAAATGTAATTTCTAACAATTTGTTCTGTCTGATTAAGTCTTTCCTGGCTTTTGAGTATTTCTTGTCTTTTGCTAACTTCTGTTGAATAGACCAGAAGAAAAGGTAATGACTGCACTATCTCACACCTCCTCCATATACTTAGACAGTTTTACACAGTGAAAGCACAGGGGGCTTTATCACTGACCCTGCACTGTGAAGAAAAGTGCTTCCTACAGCAAAGATCAATGGAAATTACAGGGTTCTTCCCTCAACTTTTAAAACAAAGCTCTTAATTATTTTGGCAGAAAAAAGCTTTATATTTTCATGATTTTACAACATGCCGGACTATTGTTTCTTATGTGGTTCGTACACATAAAACCAAGGGATTAAGGGGCAGTGGAGAAAGCAGATCAATGGAGTCTCTGACAGTGCTGTGATAAATTGTTTGTCCAATTACAGCTTTTTAGAAGACTTTGCAAGGATTTTACAATAAAAGGCAGGTAATCTTTCACTTAACTGGGAAGAAATCTGTTATATCAGTCACAGTGGAAGCTTTTCAGGATGGATCTCCTGTTCAAGATCACGCCAGAGAAAAAAAAAATACTAATTACCCAACTGTATAACCAAAATGCTTTTCAAGATCTCAAACTGATGCAGGGAAATTTTCCTATTTACTTGTTAGTAGAAAGTAGAGTTAGTGGCTTCACAGGTTATATAGGCCCCTGATGCAGTAGAACAGCCACAGACCATCACATTACCATCGCCATGCGCACCATCAATGTCCGTGTTATGTTCTTTTGCTGAAATATAACAACTGCTTTTTTAACAGATGTAATGGGATCCGCTACCTCCAATAACTTGCCCCTTTGCCTTATTAGTCCAAAATGTACTTTTTAAAAATTCTTTGCAATGACCAAAGTCCATGTTTTGCCAAATGTCAGATTAGCATTGTGCTATTTTGGGTTAGCAGTGGTGTACATCTTAAAACTATACCATAGGGCCTATGTTTTTCTTTCAATGTTCAGTCAAGAGGAGGAAGAGTGTCAAAGTAATTTACAGCAAAAGGAGTCGTTGAGGCCAATTAGCTGTCAAATGAACGGTGCCTCTTATGGAACTAAACTGGGAGGTTTTGTGGGCATTGTCTGAGATCCACTGAGATCCACAGGAAACATCTAAAACTCATTAAAAGGACTTTATATATACTATATATTAGGGCTCTCTAATAAATTGCATTTGCAATATAAACACAATTTAGCTAAACAAAATTTTCAAATTGCAGAGGGACAAAATTTTGCATTTAAAAGAGACATACACAAAATTTCTCAATCCAGCCCTTTAGGTGGCAGTAATAAGCTTAAAATAGCTTTGCTGCCACAAAGAAGAGAATAAAGAGTTGCACCCAGATCCATCCATGCAATAGAGGCAAGTACCTTTTCATGCAAAGGTTACAGCAAAGTCCAACAACAATTGACCCAATCTCAAAAACAAACATCCTGGTTTAAAACATGTACATGTTTGTATTTAGTGCAAAGGAAAATCAAAATAAAATGACAATATTGGAATAATCGCAATTTCAAATTTTGGCGAAATTGTTCATCCCTAATTTAAATATTTATGCATTTCTATATTTTGGGATCGCCTAGAATGTACTGGAAAGGGTCACTGGTTAGAGGAAGTCGAGGTTTTCATTCTGATCCTGCTACATTCAGAACCTGATATTAACAACGATGCAAAGACAGATAAGTCTTAACTATGTCTTTACCATTTTTTACAAGAACTCTCAGTAGGTTTTGTGGTTTTCCTTCTAATTTAGCACAAACAGTTTAATCGAGTAATCATGCTTTCATTGAGAATAAATGCATTTTCTTTTTTGGCCTCTACTATAATTGGTAAGAGCAGCAAGTGGGGTAATCAGTTAAAGTTTGGGTGAGAAGAGCCTTTTCAACAGTAAGTGCAGATAATGATTCAGAAAAGCCATTTGTATAATAAAGCAAATTTATTTGCAACACATAATCAATAGGTTTATGTATTCAGAATTTATAAAATAACCCTTACTCAAAATCAATACTGAGTGAATCTATTTCAAATACACGAAGGTTATCGTTTGAATTTCATAAAGGTAACTAAAACAAGATAATTATTGTACAATTCAAACAAATACATTTTATGTATTTGAAATAAATTCACCCACAAGTTTTAACTTTGAGTATACTTTATTTATTCTAGATACATAAAACTGACAGTAATTTAATTTAAATAAATTAACGTTATCATACAAGTGATTATGCTGGTGAAGATTGTTAGTCGTCCGGGTCATAGTATTTCCAAAAAAGTAAAAAAAAAAAAAAATCACCGGACTTTATTCAAACTTGGAAAAAAAACTCCATTGTACTGTCTTTTAAAATTTTTTGGAACAAGTAAATATGGATCATGTAAGGTTTATTTAATAGATTTGTGTTATCAAAAGAAAACTAAATGGGAATTTCTTATATTACATTAATCCTAAACTTTGGGTGAAGTATTTTGTGATTGTATGTATTTTTATGAATTGTAGTGTCATAGGTCAACTGGCAGCCAAAAAGTAGCTCAAACGCTACCTAGAAAAGAAATGCACAGTAAGAACTACAAAATTATACTTTATCTGCCTCCTGAAGCACATATAAAAAAAAAAATGAGCAGATCACTCTGTTTAACAGAAACATAAAGATGTTTGGCTCTGTTTGCGAGAAAGAACCACCTCACTCTGTCCATATTCTACTTCCATATTTCATAACAAATAATAAGTATGCCATGAGTTAATTCATTATCTTTTACTTGTGGAACAGCTGAAACTGCTCTGTGGTCTGTGACTCTAGCAGTTAAATCTAAGAGGGAGGATTTTTTAGTCCAACAACTCAATTAATGTACCTTAGAGTGCTAAAAGCTTTTATTGAGCCCCAAAATAATGAAAAATAATTTGCCACAAGAGCACACAGCCATCTGGCATAAACTACACCGGGAATGGATGTTCAAAGATCCCCAGGACCCAGAGGATTAAAAAATAGCTTTTAACACACATACGTGATTTGCACCTAGAATCTATCTGCATAACTTTAAAGTGTCAAGATGAGCAAAGGTGGCAGGAAAGCAGCTAAATGATAGATCTATGTTTTTCTTTTTTTAAATAACAGCTATAGCCTATTTTTGTCTGTAATGGTGTTTATTTCTGTGGTAATATACAAAAAGGAATAAGTAAAGAGCTTTCAAGTATTTTATATTTTTCTAATTAGGGTTTAACATTAAAGAAGTAAAAAACCAAAAATAAAGCAATGTATGTCTTAGTTTTCTTTGTTATAATTTCAGCCAAGGGTTTTGTTTTCACACTTTAGAGTTTGGCCTCATTTCAGAAGGAAGTTGATCATGCACCTTATTTTGAGCAAAACATTTCAGTTCCACAATTATTCAAAAAACTGGTCTTTGAATCATGAGGTAAATTAGATTTACAAAAGTCTTGCTGTGTGTGTTTTTATTTTTCTCTCGATAACCACAGCAACTATGTGCATCAGTTAAAGCATCGAGCTCCTCATTCTGTCCAACAGAAGGGTTCTGATGTCCCGCCCTACCCTATAAACAGTCACTGTAAATGGAAAAAAA